TCAGCTCACGAAGATGGAGATCATTCAAAGGAAAGCCCTCAGAATCTGCCTCGGTCTTCCCCCGGCCGCGCCGAACGTCCCTACTTTGGTCGAAGCTAGACAAAACACAATAGTCAATCTAGCGTTCCGTCAGGCACAACGGCATCTCGCCCGGCAGACCCTCACCAGGTCTACTTCCAACCTATTACAGCGCTTCGATAGACGTCCCAATTCCCGCATAGGAAAAGTCTACGCAGAGTTTAAGGAGTCGGTCGGTACATTGGATGACGACCCTCCTCCACCACCCCCTCATACAACTGTGTTTCTGAATATATCAGAATTCCCCAACTACGCAGCAAAAGTTGGCCCGGATGTGTTTTCCCGTAATCTTGCGGAAGAACACGTCGACAGCTTTTTCGACGGTTGGATAAAAGTTTTCACCGATGGCTCAGTCTGTCATCAAAAGAAATCCTCAACTGCTCTGTAGCTATCCCTGAACTCGCCATTATCAAGTCCGGTCGCCTCAACTTCCACACATCATCCACCATCACAGAATTAAAAGCACTACAACTTGCTCTCGATACCCTCCACGACTTTCAGAGCCCAGAAAAGGCGGCTTTGCTCACAGATTCCAGAGCGGCACTACAAATCCTCACCAATCTGGAAGACGCACCTCCGATTGCCCGCATCATCGCTTTCAAAGTCGAATCTTTAGAAAAGAAAGGCTGGACTATAGCATTCCAGTGGTTGCCATCTCACTGTGGAATCGACGGCAAAGAAAGGGCCTGGCGAATCGCAGCTGAGGCACATGAACTCACCAACGGCACTCTCCACGTGCCGAGGATCAACGAGGCCAGGCTTCTCATTGCACGTGAGACGCAAAAAAGACACCCGGACGTAGGCGTAGCTGGAGGAACCCCACCATCACCGGTCCCCACCAAACTCGGCCGCCCAGAAGCAGCCCTTCTTCACCGACTCAGAACCCGTTCAGCTTTCACGGCTTCTTGGCTTTACCGCATCAGACGCGTGGACAGCCCACATTGTCAGACATGCCAAGTTCCCGAGGATATAGAACATCTCCTTTGTGACTGCCCAATCTTCGACGCTCAGCGTTCTAGACTCCACCTTGAACTTCGTCAAATAGGCGCAGCAAGGCAGATCCTTTCGCACCTGCTTTTCTCGCCAGGTCTCAGGCGTATCGCTACGAAAACATTCACGCTGTTCCTGACACTCCTGGAAAACACCGGCTTGGCTGATCATCTTTAATGCTTGGTGTTCCTTCCAGTTTCCAGTACGGCGGGCCCGGCTTGGCGCAAGGTCTGTGACTGTGACGGGTAACATGACCTTCTGACATTGAGGTGGCAGACCTGACAGTGCTGGACTAGACACCACTTAATATCTTTTGATCAGTGTGTGTCTTGTTTGAACCTTCCTTCTCTTTCTTCCTTCTCTCTCTCTCTTTCCCTTTTCTTTTGCTGCTCAGACCGGGACTGGCAGGTCCGGTCTGAGCATCATCTAACACCAGACACCCTGGGGGACAGGGTTGAGACTTAGAGCCGGAGCCACACCGGAAGTAGTGTCAATTGTTCTCTCTCCCTTTCCTCCCCCAACTTCGTTAGTTAGTTGTTCCTTCTATTTTACTTAGATGATTTTCTCCAGAACTCGAACCTCCTTTTCGTTGCCTGCACACTTCTATAATCTACCCTTCCATCTTCTCCAGAGATACCGGTGGCCACTGGTACGTTTGTCGCCCGATCGGGAAGGGCAGGACTAGGCTCCTTACATTTTAGAATCACATGCTCAATTGTTTCTGTTTCATCCTTACATAATGCGCACCTTGTATCTGTGTCTTCAAATTTGGCACTATACGTTTTGTTCTTTAGACACCAGTCCTCGCCTCAAACGGTAGAGCACTCCTGCTTGAATTATCGAATAAACATTCCGTCTTTATTTCTTGCTTTCGTGACCAATACATCCTTAAAGCTGACTCCGCCTGCATTTTCTCGTCGCACATCCATATCTCTGCCTCATTAACTGCCTTTTCCACTGAACGCGGTTGCTCCACCCCATTGCCCGCCTGCATGAATTTCAACCTAAGCTTTATTTATTTATTTTATTTACAGAATACCTACATCGCCTCGTGGGCATTATCGTAGGGGGGGGGGGGGGGATCACGAAATAACAAATAACAGTGATTTTCACAAACAAGAAAAAATACATCATTGTCTGAGATACTGACCAGCTCCTGTTGCAGCAGGTTCCAGTCTTTGATTGTTTGAACAAAAAAAGAACTACCAAAATTGTTTGTTTTATAACAGTACTCAAAAACCTTTTCAGTGTTATCGAACCGCGCTGACATGTAACTTGGTTTATACAAATACTCATTTCTATCAATGCCAGTTTCGTTATAATAAATCCGATGAAAAAACTTCAACCTTAACTTATACCTTCTAGTGTTTAATGATTCCCATCCCAGCATGGCTTTTATTTCAGAGATACTTGCATAAGGGTTATAGTTATTGCTGACAAATCGTGCCGCTTGATTCTGTACCTTTTCTAATTTTTCGATAAGATAATCTTGGTATGGGTCCCAAATGATGCATGCATAGTCGAGTATCGACCTAACATGCAAAATATAAAGAGTTTCTTTCACCTCTGTTGAAGCGCCCTTAAAATTCCTCCGGATAAAATATAACATTTTGCTTGCCTTTGCTATTGTATAGTCAATATGATTGTGCCATTTAAGTGATTGGGTGAAATTAACTCCTAAGTATTTACAGTCGCTTACTCTGCGGATTATTGCATTTTTAATGGTATAGCTGGCGGGAGACCTTGATACATTTTTTGTGAAGCTGAGATAATTACATTTTCCAATATTTAAACTCATTCTCCACTTATCACACCAGTGTTCTATTTTATCTAGGTCGCTTTGCAATATTTCTATGTCCATTGTTGAATATATTTGTCTATAAACAACGCAATCGTCCGCAAACAACTTAATCGGCGATTGAATGTCAGTTACAATATCATTAATATAAATTAAGAACAATAATGGTCCCAAGACACTGCCTTGGGGTACTCCTGAACTCACAGTTATAGGTAATGACTTGCTACCATTTAAAACCACGCACTGCTCTCGGCCACTTAAGTAATTTTTTATCCACTTTTGAATATTGTTAGTTATATTTAAAGATGCTAATTTCTTCAGTAGTAGGTGGTGTGGTACAATATCAAAGGCTTTACGAAAATCAAGGATAATTGCATCTACAGCATGGCTTTCGCATTGTATTGCTGTCAAGTGATTTTGAAATGTAATGTTGAAATTCTGCCAGTTGTGTGTTACATGAACACCCTCTGCGAAAGCCATGCTGGGAAGGGGCAAGAAATTTACAGGATTCCAGGTAATCAAAAACCACACTATATATAATATGTTCCAACAATTCGCAACTAATTGACGTCAAAGATATAGGCCTATAATTTTCTACAAGTTTTTTATCCCCTGACTTGAAAACAGGAATAACATTTGCTACCTTCCAATCGTGTGGAACTGCCCCAGTTTCAAGGGAAATTTTAAACATGAGACATAAATACTGGGCTATAATATCTCGACACTTACAAAGAACAATCGATGGTAATCCATCAGGTCCGGTTGCCTTCGAGGTATTCATTTCACGCAAGAGGCAAGTAATACCGTTAACATCAATTTCAATATCTGCCATTGTGTTACCAGAAATAACAGATACTGGTGATTCATCGCTGGTTGTTTCTTGAGAAAATACTGATTTGAAGTAAGAATTAAAACATTCTGCCTTCTCAGCATCACTCTTGATTATTGTATTGTTAACATTTAAGTATGGGATAGAAATATCTTTTCTACTTGTTTTAACGTAATTCCAGAACACTTTGGGATTTCGCTTAACATCATCGTTTAGCCGGGAGAAAAATAACTTCTTTGCTTTTCTTATAGATAACTTTAATGTGTAATTAATTTCCTTTAGCCTTTGCAGGTTTATTGGACAGCCATCTCTGGAAACCCTTCTATATGCACACCGCGCTCTTCTTACGAGTTTACGAATTTCAATATTAAACCATGGTTTTTGTTTTCGTTTTTGTCGAATAATCCTCGATGGTACAAAAGTGTCGATTAAGTTTGTTATTTTATTACCAAAGATGCTCCACAGATCTTCTAGACAGTGCGATTCTGCTAAGCATAAAAAGGTTGAAAAATAGCTGTACAATTCAGTGCCGATGGCGTCAAAGTTTCCTCTCTCATACATGAATACCTTGCGTGGAAGTTGTGCCCTCTCGGGTGCTCCAGATACATTTAGCGTTGCAACAACCACACTATGGTCACTTATTCCAGGATACACCCCGACCTGAGCTACAATATTAGGGTCATTACATAAGACCAAGTCTAGAATGGCGTTCAACCTCGTCGGCTGCTGCACATATTGATTGAAGCTGAAAGTGCCCAATACCTCTGTAAACACAGTGTTAACGCGTGATTTAACAATACATTCTGTTGTTCCAGTAGACCAGTTAAAATCTGGCAGATTAAAATCAACACCTAGAAAAACACCGTCAGGAATCATTGATAACATGTCACAGAGCAAACAAATTGAAGTTTCACTGTTATCAGGGGTTCGGTAGAAGGTCCCGAACACGAGAGCAGTTCCCCTCGGGAAAAAGACCCGACACCAGACAGACTCGGTAGCGTTTTCGAAAACCAGTTCATGACTAGTCCATCTATTAGAAATTAGTAGAAAAACTCCCCCACCGTGCCGATGTCTGTCTTTGCGATAAACTGTAAAACCCGCCGGAAATACCTCAGCGTCACTAACAGTATCATCTAACCAAGACTCCGTCCCCATAACAACTTCAGGTTTAAGGGTCTCCAACAAAAGTGCAAACTCGTCTACTTTATTTTTGATGCTACGGCAATTTACCAATAGTACTGAAAGCGCCTGTTTTGTAGCTGTAGCCTCATGATTGCTTGGGCCATCTTTAGGCTTTCCGACCCGTCATTCGTGTTCTCTTGGTTGGCCAGGCGCCCGATATAAAACAGGTTGTCTCGTTTCGCTGTCCCAGATAAACGTCTGTTCATTGATAACCAGTTTATCGTGGTTTAAATGAACCTTGTTCTCTCTGTTCTGCCTTTTCTCCTTCGCATAATTCCAAAGTTGACGCCTCTTTTCTTGGACTGCAAGACTAAAATCCTCGGAGACACTGAATGAAGTATTCTTGAATTTAAAAGCACTTCGCAAAACAGACTCTTTGACCTCCCAACCCGGGAAGTTGACTACAATTGGTCTGTTTTTCCCATCTTTGTGTTTCCCCAATCGGTGGGCTCTTTCAATTAAAACATCGAGCGATAACACGTCTTTGCAGATTTTTGTGATCAGCCTTTCCGATTCTTCCCACGTTTCACTGCGAGAGTTGTCGGGAACTCCGAAAAATACCAAATTTGTCCTCCTGCTTCTGTTTTCAAGATCATCTAATTTTGCTTCTAATTTCCTGCCACTTCCTTCAATCTGCAAAACACGTTTTTCAATATCATTAGTTTTCAAGCTTATGGTATCAAACTTCCTCTCAAGATCAGCTTGTTTTGCCTCAATACCAGCTAACTTTCCCAAAACAGTCATTTGACCAGATTGCAATTCCAACAAAATGGTCTCAATTTTCCCAAGCTGTTCAATCTGTGCCTTAGTCATGGGACCGGGGTTTAGCTCCACGTCACCCGACAAAAGCAACAAGGTCTCAAAAAACGAAAGTGTCCGTTTCGTCTATTTCGTGTTCAGACTACTCATATAAAGGTATTTATATGTTTTATGTGCCCACCTCGTGCCCTCTATGTGTGTTAGTCTTTTGTCAGAGTGCATTGTACTCACTGCCTTTCTGTTTTCAAACGATGACCAGCTCATATCACCCTGCACTCCCTCGTTTGGAGTGTTCCCATGTTACCCTAGAACTGTTCTGCCAACGCTCCTTTGTCCTATCTCCAATCTCGCCTGAACTTGACAACTCATGCAAACGACCGCGTTACCAAAGGTCAATCCTGGTACCATTACTCCTTTCCATCCTCCCCGCACCACTTCGTATCTATTGAAGTTTCATAGCGTCCTGTGTTTCATGATGGCCGAATTCATTTTACCCTTACCAATTATATGTCTCTCATATTCCTCGAGGTATTTCTTTCCTTCGTTGATCCTTACTCCCATATATTGGTGCTTGTCCACCATACCTTTTTCTATGCTCTGTAGCTTTAAACGATCTGCCTTGATGTCGTTCAAAAAAAAAAAACAACATAATTCCAGATTTTGTTGCGTTGAATTTAAACCCGAGAGCGTCCCCTTTGACGCCGCAGACTCCAATCATAGAACATATCTTTATTTTCATGAGTAACGATGTCCAAAATACAACTAACGAGCCGGTATAAGCCTCAGGGACTTGTGCACCTAGCTCGGCTGGTAGCAAAGTCACGGCATAATTTAAAATTGGGTATATTTATTTACCCTCGAAAACATGCTTCAGATGTACTAAAAGATTTTGACAAAGGAAAAAAAAAACAGCAATAAATGTGATACATGGTAACACAATGAAACGAAAAATACCAAATCACTGTTCTAAGTTTCGCAGTGCTTTTTTCTAATTTTCTTTTTAGATGTTATCGAAAGCAATGATTCTGTTAGGTTGTTGAAAACACGTGGTACAAAGAACATTCGCGTACGCTCACCATACCTTGTTCTGGTGCGCGTCACATCGGAACGAAGTGAGGGTCTTATTGATCGCTGCTGTAGACATGGCGTTCTAAAAACCGACCGCCAGAAGTGCCGTAGGACGGCTGTTCCTTCAAAAAGTCCCTCGAAAGACGAGAGTTGAAGTTCGCCAAATATACATGTATATATTAAAACATCCTGCCTAACAAACGCAACACTTTTCAAAATACCTTCTAACAAAGAATTTGCTCTGGCGCGCCGATGAACGGAGCAGGCTGAAAAAGTGGTTATACTGGACCGTAAGTAACTATACGTCACTATATGCCAAGGCTCGTGTCATAATTCTTCTAACAGATAGGGGAAGACCATTTTGACATTGTTACGACAGCATGACAGGCTTCTTAGTCTTTTACATAAATACGTCATATAAGTACATCATGACAAGTCACTGTCGAAGGAAATTCCATGTATTTTACCGATTTCACGTTCTGAAGAAGATCGTAACCACAAGAGCTAGAGGTGGAAGTATACAACGCTACGGTATCTGACAGATCCTCCTGCTTGAGCGGGTGCCTAAAACAAACTAGAATTGTCTTCGAAGCATTCATTTTATATAAGTTAGCATAAAACCATTCTTTTGTGGAAATAAGATATTTTTGAAGTTTTTGAACGATAACGTGATAATCCGCGTTACATGACATCAAAACCTTGTTGTCTGCGGATTAGTATAATATTTCTCTAATTTTTTTTTTTGCGCACAATTAACTTTTTGGTCACGCGTGCCCCAACCTGTTAATTTTTTTTAAATTTTATTTTCAGGGGCACTTTAATAACTTCATAGTGGGTTTGCACGCAATTATTTGTTTCTATTTACCCCTTTGTCGTTGTTACAAACAATATCCCCTCTCCCCCGCCCTCCTTTGTACAAAGTGTCACAAAACAAATTTACAGGTTTTTTTTTTTTTTTTTTTTTTTGTCGGAAAAATAAACTAGGCATCGCCGAACGCTCATTTTCCGCCCAAAGGTCACAACCAGATGCCAAAGTTTCAGCCTGATCCGATACCTTATTCAAAAGTTAGTGTGTGATTTTCTGAAAATTTCAATGGGAAAAGGGAGCCCATTTTTGCAGGCTTTCGGTTTCTGGTGCCAAGAGCCCCTTGTGTTTGAAAACTCCGTCGGCCGCCATCTTCCCATTGTAATTTTCAGAAAATCAGTTATAACTTTTGAATAAAGTATTGGATCGGTGTGGAACTTTGGCATCTCGTTGTAACCTCTAGCGCTACCTTTGGGACGAGAATGAGCGTTCGGCAATGCCTAGTTTATTTTTGCGGTAAAAAAAAAAAAGAAAGAAAGCCGTAAATTTTTTTTTACACCCTGTAGATGTGGTCCCCACCTGTAGAGGTGATGGGGTCCCCCATCAACTCTGTCAAATCAGAAGTTGTCCCGAAATATCAGTGGTTGAGAACAACTGCTTTGGATCATCGAGTGTTTGAGCGGGCAAGTTCCCCGCGGAGACATCTGCAGCGACACGCTGCATACCCGTGTACTTTAACCGGCTGCAAAAATTTCACATTTTATCATGCACCGTAGCCCTTGACTGCAAAGTGCTTCTTGCTTAGCGAGGTTTTTTTCGTGGAACACAGATTTTTTAAGACTCGGCTCGCCCTACGACTGCAGCAAAAAGCTCTTCATCGAGAAACGAAAAAGACAACGGAAGTGTTGCGTTCATATCGGCATTGTTTATTTAGCCGACCGCGCGGCACAAACTGTTGCCTGTTTGAATAGAATGTTGAAAAGCAGCTGTAGAGTACGACTATCTTACCTGTTGCTTCTAGTGGACCGGAGACCCCTGAAATGTATTTTGTGATGGGGCTTATGCAATGACCGAGGGGGAAGGGGAGAAAGGGGGGTGGGGTGGGGCGGAGGCCAAAGAGGTACTGTAATAGGTTCGAAAAATAATATAAAAAGGAAAAGCTCCATTTCTATACAAAATTTAATATATATATATATATATATGTATATATATATATATATATATATATATAACCTAACCGGGCGACAGGCACGTGGTCTGGTGGTCGGTCTCGCTGTGAGGAGCCTGGAACGACACGTCAGTTTGCTAGGGCGATACATGTTTTACTGTAAACAAAAACACTAAAAATATTAACCCGAAACATGGTCGAAAGAGCACATTACACGCAGTTTCTGTTCGTATCGCGCGGACACTTTAATACCAAAGAAAAACCATAAAAACGAGCGGCTGTTTCTATAGTACAAGGGTTTGAAAAATCAAAACACCTACAGCAAAATGTAGCGAAAAAAACAAAAGAAAAAAAATTCTCAGCCATTCTACTTTGGTGAAGAAGGAAGACCAGCGAAGCTGTACTATGCTGGGAATCAGGGATGGGCAAAATGCATGCAAATATGTATCGAAATACAAATACAAAATACTTCGTCAAAAATGTATTTAATTACAAATCTAATTACATTTCCAAAAAAGCATTTAAGTACAAGGTACAAATACAACCAAATGTATTTGGTCCCCTCCAAATACTTTTCCAAATACATTCCTCAAAATTTACGTCAGTGACTTCAGGGCACCTGCAACGGGTTTCTGGGCATCTAATTTTAATTTTGCAACGCACACTCGGGAGTTAGTGTGCGAGGCTCTAGTAACGTAACAGAAATATAATCACAAAAAAATGTAATCACCTTGGACGTAATAGGTAAAAAAATTACATGCTTCAAGCAGCTTTTTTTTGCCGATTACATTTTGGTATAGACTAACAAAGAACCGAGACGACCAAGACGTGCAGCACTAGCTAGAGATTTTTTTATTGTTGCATCGCACCATTACGAAAATCTGGACGACCCGCGCATTTAGAATGTTCCAGGCAAAAATATGGATGGAAATCAGGCTGGAAGGCATCACAAGTTGTCACAGGCACTTATAGCCAGTCTGCTTGTGAACGTCGATTTCGTCACTATTCTTGCCCTTGACTAGCACCGTAATCACAAAGCCACTAAGCGCTTGTGCTTGATTGAGAGACACCGCATTCAGTGCTGAATGTAGTTTTCTTTCTGCTCTGGATAGTGACAATAAAGTTGAGGGATGTATTTTCGCCCACAAAATTGTATTTAATTACAATTGTATTTGAAATACCCACGTTTTAGTATTTAAATACACACGTCAAATACATTACCCATCAATATAATCTGTTGGGCTATAGTCAGATGCAACCTGAGAACAATCTTTTAGCTCCACCCACAAGCGTATTGCGCCCATCTGAGGTGCCTCCGCCGTCGAGAAAGTAGTTCGCTAGCAACGTTGCTTTTTCCTCCTCCAGGAAACGTGTCTTAAACTACTACAATATTTATTTAATTCACTCAGGACATTTAAACAAGTTAGAATACGTTTTTGTCAACGAAATAGCTGTTTAGTAAAGAAAGAAAGTCATGTCCAATGTACCGTCTTCCCAATTCATTTTCTATCCAAGATACTGTCTAACATACCGTCTAACATACCTCTCAGCAGTGCTAAGCCTCGCGCCCGCTTCGAAATTTTCGTTGGTGATAGCGTCGCTGGATTCTCACGTTGTCGCGCAAAAACTGCTGCTTCCGGGCACGTAAAACACGGTGCAAAAAAGCAGAATAATTGTCACGAGAAACTAGCGTCGCGTTGCTAAGGCCAGCAGCCATGTTGAGCTTTTTTTTTTTCAAAAAGATCGCGAATGGTCCTAGGCATCGTGACGTCATGAAAACGATTGGCAGGCGTTTCTCGGCGTAGGATTACATTTTCCTCTGAGAGGCATTTCCGGTTTTTTCTTAGCTTGCAACCGACTATAGTTGGTTAAACATGATCGGGTAAAATTTGCGCAAACGACAAGAGAAGAGAAAGGTAAGACAGGACAGAGCGCTACCCACAACTCACGTTTTAATAGAAAAAGACAAGAAGGAAGTGAAGCATTTTAACAATAAAAGGAAGAGGAAAACCCAACGAAAATACGACCGCGCCCTAGGTTGTCTTGATAAAAAAAAAAGAAGAAAAACGCCAAAATCGTGACTAC